GCTCCAGAGTTTCAGTTTTAGCATTAGAAGATGGCAGTCTCCTGAGATGTTGATCCAGCACTTTCCTGGACCCATCAGCTTTGCAGAACTCACATCTCGCTTAGCACATATAGCAATCCCAGCATCATTTCAGAGCTGGCTGATGAACTCTCTGAAGGTCAGGGTGTTTGGGGGCAGACCCTGTGTCTGTATGTGGGGCCCAGGTTGCAGCTCCTGTCAGTTGAAACAGGAAGACTTGTTCTAATCTACTCAAGCTGATTCGAAGTCTTCATTAAGCGCTTCCTCTGTGCCCAGATATTCACAACTTGTAAAGGAGGTTAAAGTGACAGGATTGCCTGTGCCTACCATGACCAGCTGTGGAACCCATTTGCACTTCTCCAGCTTTCTGGGTAGATACCAAGGCATGCGTTAACGCTTTTCTCTCATCTAGACATCTGTGGAAGATAAACAGAAACTGTGCACAGGCCTGTGTCCCACTCAGCACTCAGTAAATGCTAGCTAAAATAATTACTATTACTGTTGTTGGTGTTACTCAAAGAAGTTGTTATTTTGTTGAGATTGAAATGACTGATTCTACAAATCCGGACAAAAACAAGACTGAGAAAAATTGAGTATGGGTTTTGGATCCTGTAACCCTCCAGGTGTGTTCTGTAATCCTCCAAGTGTGTCCTGTTCTCCTTCAGGTGTCTCTTGTATAGGCTGGACCAGGTTGACTTCTGAGACAGCTAGGAGCATTTTTGTGTATGTGTTCACTCATGTTTCCGTAAAGTGAAATGCCTTCAGTACCCATCAGCCTGATGGGCTGTTGGCCTAACCACTCTGTAGAGGGACAGCACTGTGACCATCTAATTTTTAATGACTACCTTCCTCTTGCTGCTACTTCATTTTTTTTTTTTTACCAATATCCATAGAAACCCAACTTCAGACCCAACTCTCCAGGTCCAGGTCCTTTTGGAATAAGAGATAAATGAAGCATATGTTTTAATTGATGTGTTCCCCCTCAAGCCGATGTGTTAGTCAGGCGTGATGGTGCATGCCTTTAATCCCAGCACTCAGGAGGCAAAAGCAGGTGGCTTCTGTGAGTTTAAGGTCAGCCTAGCTTATATAGTGAGTTCCAGGACAGCAGGGCTGTGTAGATGGACCCTGTTTCAACCCCTACCCCTATAAAAGCCATATGTTAAAGGCTTGTCACTGATTTACTCCTACCAGATGTTTGCTGCTGCTGCTGCTTCTCTCTGTGTGTGTATGTGTGTGTGTCATGTGCATGTGTGTGTGAGAGAGTCGGAGAGAGACAGAGACAGAGACTCACAGGAGGTAGTAGGCCTTTAGAAAGTGGGGCCAGCTTGGCACGATGGGAGATGATGGATCTTTAGGAATGGCACTATTAGATGGCATCCAGGACATTGGGAACATGTACTTTGAGGGGGTAGAGTGGCCCTAGTTTCTTCTTATTTCGAGTTTTACTTCTGTGGCTATTTTTCTCTGCCATACATTTCCACCATAGTGTGCTTTGTCGCCCCCAAAACAAGACCAATCTATCATGTCTTGGAAGCTTAAGAACTATGAGCCTGACTCAAACATTTCTCTTTACAAGTTGATTGTCTTGAGTATGTATAGTAATGAAGAACTATAACACAGCATCAAAAGCTGGAGTCCTAGGGAAGGACATTCATTTACTTCACGAGGATTTACTGAGTATGCTGGGTGGATAAGCGAATACAGTGGGGAGTAAAAGCACCAGCCTAACCACACCCCGCCCTGACTCAGTGATGGAGAAGGCTGCCAAGGGTTAAGGTAAAAAACAGGCACGGGAGGAGTATACAGCGAGGGCTTTTAACCTAACCTGTAGGATAAGAATGGCTTCTCGAGCAAGTGTAGTTGCAGCTGGCATCAAAGGATGTCCAGGTTAACCCAGGGTGGCCCAGAGGAGGTGCCCTATTGAAGGCTCAGTGGGGAGTTACAGAGGGTAGGGCAGAGAGCAGGGCTGGTGGGGGCCCAGTGGTTGGGGGCTTTTTCAGGCTTGCCTTACTGGAGTCTCCCGAGAGTGGGACACCAAGGTGAGACAGTTTCCATCCTTCAGGCAGGGCCCATAGCCTGTAATATTCTTCCCATATTTTGGTTACCATTAAAAGTTAATTCTGGCAACCCCATAGCTCATTCCTGGGACCTCTTTGAAATAAAATTATACGTGGTGCCATTTCCCTTCCCTCTGAAATTCCTATTGCTGTATTTTTAGTACATTTGGGGGGGGGAGTAAAAAGCATCACTTACTTCTAGTTTTCCATACAACCTCTTCTGATGACTACCTTCTTTTAAAGAGTTTTTTTTTTTCAAAGGCTATGAAGCCTGAATTAACTTCTCTGTGAGAAAAGGTCTTTTGTGGTTTATAAATTTTAATGCAGGATACTAACTGCCAGGATATTCTTGGACCACAACCAGGGCTTTAAGCAGCCTTCTGCAGCAGCTGAAATGAGGCCAGCCTGACCTGCACCTGGACATAGGGTCCTTTCATCCTTCACGTTCAAAGTCAGGGGACCTCCTGGTTTCAACCTTAGGACACCAAGACTTTCCTTTTAAAATCCATTTCCTGGAAATAAGTCTTTGCTGTGCTGATGGATAATTTTTCACTTCATATTTTCTTAAGGTGCATAAATTCAACATTTTCCTCTTTCAAATAAGGGAAAAAACAAGGCATGGGAGTCCATGGTAAGGCTAATCTTTGTATGAAACAGCACAAACCATTGCTGTCCTGGATTTTTAAACTATTCATTAGCAACAGGGGATTCCTACACAGCCTTATTCATTCACTATTCCTCTTCAGACCCTGAACTTTTTGATTAAAAGTGCCGGGTAAGAGAAGGGTGCCTGAAAATTACTCTTATGTGAACGCCTGAGCAGTTAACCGCACAGGGACCTGCTCTGCTCCCATGCCTATTTGGACACCCTTAATCAATGTGGCAATGAAGAAAAACTGGGTTTCTGAGACGTAGTGCCTGCCTTGTGCTTTAGACATCTCCAGCATCAGCAAATTCTTTCAGAACAGAACCACTCTAAGCCAGCCAAGTGCAGTTTTACAAAATTTAAAAAGGCATTCCCTCTGGATCTGTAGATTGACAAGGACATCCTTCTACGTGCACTGGAGACTCACATCTTGGCCAGCTAACATTCTCGACTTGGGCTTAGCCAAGGGAGCACAAGCCAGCCTACGGCAAATTTGACTCTCCAAAGAGCAGCTGTGTTCAGTGTGTGACCCATGCACTATGGGTGGGCCTTCTCTAGAGACATCCCCAGCGCTTTGCCCTTAGCCAGCTGCCCATTGATTGCTGCTGAGCTGCTGACATTGTTCAGTCGGTAGGATGGATAGTGGGGGTCAGGTAAGGCAGTGCTGTAAGGAGAAAACCCAGCATTTAGAGATCAACAGCTGTGTTTCTGGGTGGAGGTCTGACCATCTCATGAGCTCAGTGGTTCTGCTGGAGGAAAAAAACAAAAAACAAAAAACAGTAAAGTGACCCTTGTGGTTATGTAAATTAAAAAAAAATCACAGAAGGCCTTGCCTCTAAGATATATCCTAACAGTATTCTTTGTGTTTGTCAAAAACTCCCCTGCCGATGATCTCAGTGTGTAAATGCTAAACGAGGCTCCTTTTCAGGATCCTCCTAGAGAGAAATAAAATGTGACCTTTACCTCCTCCAAAATGAGGGTCAGGCTTATAAAAGCACATTTGAAGAGCAGAGTTTTATGTGAGCACAGATAGTGGACATTAGCATAAAGTGAGGACATCCTGGGAACCATCACACTGCAAAAAGGAACAGCAGCCAGCAGAGATTTCATTATCATACTGGGCACTGGGATTGCAAAGTGAGGAAGCAGTAATGCAAGGTGAAAGGGCCCAAACCCCGCTCTTGCTGGGCACAGTTAATGTTCTCTGTTTCTTTCTGGTGGTTCTCAGGGTTGGACCTGAATGCATTTAGTCCAAGCAAGACTGAGGTCTCACGAAGTGTACCCATTGGGAGCAGAGTTGACAAGTGCTTTGAAAAACCAAGGGAAATCACATGTGAAGTTGTGTGATTTCCACATCAGGGAGAAGCCTGCCAGGTCCCAAGAAAATTTTGGTTGCTGTGGCAACCAGAACAGCCGTCCCTCCTGTGGATTCCTAGCTGGTTCTCAGCTTCAGCGATCTTTGGTGTGCTCATGCCCACGAAACCAGAAGAGCAAGCAGGAAGAGAGAGGTCTCAGACAGGAAAGAGTGCAGAGCCTCCATGCAGATGGCCTGAAACAGGACCTTGATGAAGGCGAGCATGGGAAGGCAGATGGGCTTAGGCCATAGGGAACTGATTAAAGGACTTTCAAAGGCCAGGCATTACCAATGTGTTTTGTTTTGTTTTGAAGCTCTTTCTTTGGATAATAAATAAAGGATAAGTTAAATAAAAGATGTAAAGTGGGCCCTCCAGAGGGGTTGATTTTGCAGAAAATAGCTGCTGCATCCACTGTGAATAATATTCAAAGCAAAGTGTACTGCAGCGGGATTTGTTGCCGCTTAAAAGTTGCCCCTCCCCCAGTCCAATGATAGGGGAAGTCCTCCTCCCCTTCCATCTGACCCTAGTCTATCAGGTCTCATCAGGACTGGCTTCATTGTCTTCTTCTGTGGCCTGGTAAGGCTGATTCCCCCTCAGGTGAAGATGATCAAAGAGCCAGCCCATGAGTTCATGCCAGAGACAGTCCCTGTTCCTATTACTGGGGAATCCTCTTGGACACTTTGCTGCCATGGGCAGTGGTTCTAGGTTATCTCCATGCATGGTCCTTGTTTGGAGTATCAGTCTCACAAAAGACTCCTGTGCCCAGAATTTTTGGTTCTGTTGCTCTCCTTGTGGAGCTCCTGTCCTCTCCAGGTCTTCACACAGTACTTTTAACCATATTCATTTCCCTTCCCTAGCTCCTCCCGGGTTGTCTTCCACCTCTCTAACCCACCAGGCTTCAGATTCTCTCTCTATCTCTCTCTCTGAAATGTGGCATCCTTCACCAAGTAGGGTATTATCCTCGCACACAGGTCATACTAATCTTCTCTATACCATTCCAGTTTAGTTATTTGTGCTGCTGAAGAGAGCACAGGTTTTTCTTTCCTAGGAAAGAATGCTCTGCCTAGGAGCCAGCTTCCCTCTCTTCAGAGGGTATGGGACGCTGTCTAGGGTCTCCTGTTGCTCAGTTGGCATCCACCCTCCTGCTCACCATTATTTCTACTTTTCTCAGTGACCATTTAATTCTAAACATTTCTGAGGCTCTCCAGAGTCCTGTGCTTTTTCTCAACGGCAGAATTTTAAAGCGGTGGAAATTTCCTGTGCTTGAAGGGGCAGTGGCTCGGTTCTGTTTTGGAGGGCAGCAGCCTTTGAGTTCTACTTAGCGGAGCTTGTTCTTTAGTCCCAGGTGCCTGCTGGGTTCCGCCCTCCCCACCTCTGCACCCGCCGCTGTATGCACAGAGGCCTTCAAAAGGACCACCCTTTCAGATCACACTCTGAGATGTCCCCAATTTAAGTGCATTAGCTACCACAAAATGGGTCTTTCCTGCTGCGAGGTAATAAAACCACGTGGAGGTATTTACTTGGTAATTTATTGAGCCAGAGTTGTCTTCAGTTAATTGTAGACAGATCTGACGATTAGGGAGCCACATTGGTTTGCGGTTCCTTTGGGCCATTCCAGCTTTTATTTCCGTGCTTCCTAATCTTTGGTAAGAACTCAACAACTCTGGGCATGGCCTCTGTCTCCTCTGCATTTGAGCAATTTTCTCTAGGGTGGAAAGGAGAGCATGCCAGAGTTGGAATCTACTTAAGCAAATACCTAACACTGAAGATCTGGTTTCATGCTAACTGCTTGCCTGCCTTCTAAAAACTCTTCAAACCATTTCTTGGGAGAAATGGATATGGCTTTGTGTGCCCAGATCCCCTTCTCTCGTCACACCTACTCCATCTTCTCTGCTTTTTATTACATCTGTCTAACCAGAAACATTGTGCTTGTAGAAATTCTGTCAGCAGAGAGTCTCAATACTGTATTTGGACTTTTCATATTCAGTGCATATTTCATAGACACATCCAATGTGTAGACAGCCTTCTTACAATTATTCTAATGCTCCTGTCTATGTGAGATATTTGGCAGTATGTGCATCTGATAAAGCAATAAATAAACCGAGAGAGAGAGAGAGATGGTGTCCTGGTATCTGCTTCTTGGGAGACGCCCTCAAATCAATGTTTTAAAGATAAGAGACTAGGAATGTTCACTTCAGTATATAAAAACAGAGATACTTTCTTCCAAATACTAATAAGATAATTCTATCCCAGAATAAGCTTATGAAGTAAGACATTTGTGGCTAGATATCTACCTGCCAGGCATATCATAAAAGGCCAAGTCCTCAATAAACACATGGAGCTTCTGAAATACAGAATTATTTGAAATATCAAATTCAGATAAACTTTGAATTCTGATGACATGCTCTTACAAAACATAGTTATTTTAAAACGCTCTGTCCCTCAAGACTGAACTTAAAAGAGAAATTTAACTTCTTACCTACATCTTACTTTCAATAGAGTATCAGTATGCTTGAGTTTTGTTTTTCTTATGTTATTAGAATGCGAGGCTCTCCACATCCCATGTTCTTATTACCAGTAATGCTTTTGATAATTTTCTCCTCATTTGGAACCTGCTTAGAACATTAGACTAGGTAGGCCTCCACTGTTAATGTCATCATTATAGAATAGGTTGCTCAAGATAGCCCATAAATGAGGAGCTCTGGAGTAGGTTCAAGCGCCTTGGCTTTTTATCAACAGATTAAAAAGAAAATAAGGAAGAAATTCAACAGAAGAATTTCTTGGTGTTAGCCAGTTGTCTCTATAACAGTGTTTGAGACCATCAGCTTGCAGGAAGAAAGGGTTGCCTGGGGTTTGAGTTTTGAGATTTTAGGCCAGGATTGAGCTGAGTTTTTAGATCCCTGGTGGAGTGTCAGCACGTCATGGCACGAGTGTACAGCAAACCAAACCACTCACCCAATGAGGGGTTGAGAGTCCCACAATCCCCTTCTAGAACATACCGCCAGAGTCTTCCCACCAGGCCCTCCCTCTTACAGGCTCTTCTGCCTCCCAGAGGTGCCACACTGGAAACCAAGCCTTTAACACTTCCCATCCCAGCTATAGAACACATTCTTTTCTAGACAAATTTCCCTTGGCTTTCATTTACCCTTCATAGATCGTATCTTAAGCATGGACTGACAAAGGATTTATAACTACCTTTCAATATGAATTGGGTCTTGATTTCTCCTTAATGGGATCAAAATCAGAGGTGCCATTTTTATAGCTCCTCCTTTTATAGGACCCTCTAGAATTCCTGTCCCTGTCCAGGTCAAGCCCCTATGGCCCCTTAGATTAGGGATGACTAAGCATTTACTAGAATGTCCTGTATGTAGATAGTTCATCTGGGGTAGATGCTGGACAAAGAGAAATGTCACTGTTGGTTACAAGAAGAGAACAATGTCAACTTTAAAGTGCTCTGTTTATAGAGCCAGTGCGAAAGGTGGCAGCAACTGATCGTAGGTTAGACTTCCATGAATGTTAGCAACCTAATGAAGGGCACCTGTCTAGCCAGAAACGACTGGAGCAAAATGATGCATAGCCTGGCCATTTCCCAATAAGCTCTCAATGAATGTCAAAAGGCCAAATCATGGAGTTTCTGAGAATCTCTGACTGGACTTGAATGAAGAAGAAATACAGAAAGACAAATACAGACCTAGCACTGCCAGTAAGGGTGGGAGAACCTTGTGGTGAGTCAGAGCAGAGGAGGTCACCTAGCTATTTTGACAAACCTTTGCATATTCTGTATTTCCTAATATTTGATTGTTGGATTTATTGAGCAGATGTTTCAAGTTAGAACTGTAAGGCGAACTTTCCCCCATGCTCTGAGAGGATGGGAGATAGAAGAAATAATGTTTCAAACCTTAATTAACTGCTTTAACAAGCTATTTTTTTTTTTTTAATTAAGGAAGGGGTCTGGAGAGATGGTTTGGTGCTTAAGAGCCTTTGCTGTTCTTGGAAGAAAACTCAGGGTCAGTTCCCAGAACCCACATAGTGACCCAGAAACATTTGCAACTTCAGTCCCAGAGGGTCCAATGCTCTTCTATCCTCCTTGGGCACCAAATGTGCAAGCAGTATACATATATACATGCAGATGAGACACTCATATATAAATGTATATACATATATAAATCTAAATAAAATGAAGTTAAAGAAGTACACATAAGAAGCTTCCATTTTCTTGAAGAAATGCTAATTATTGAGATGATGTAGCAGAGACTGTCATGATCAAATTAGGACAATCCACTTATAACTGTAGTATCAAGTGCTTCCGATTGTTATGATATAGTACGTATTTTGATATCTTTATTATATGTTTGTGTGATCTGAAGACTCATAAAGTTCTACAAAGTTTTTGTGAGAACAGCAATCCATCCTCCTCTTCCCACTCTGTCCTCACCAGAGGTGAACACTGTCATTTAATTGACTGATGCTTTTGGTACTTGCCTCTGAATGTCCAGACAGTATATTTGTATCTTTTGCTTTTCATATTTAAGTGTTAAAATGACTGCACACACACACACACACACACACACACACACACACACACTCACCTTTTTATGTTGTCTTTCTTGGTCACATCCTCCCAACATGGTATTATTACAATTTTTTTGTTAAATAAGTAAGAATTAAGTGCTTCTAGGAAATCCTACTCATGGCTGATGTGAAACATTATCATAACTTTAACTCCTTGCTTAACTGCCCGCCGTCCCCCAGGGTAATTGGTTGCCTTGATCTAATTTTTTTTTTTGGGGGGGGGAATTACTAAAGAATATCATTAGTTCAAAACTGAACTATACAGTAATTATCTAAATCATTTCAAAACACGTTCAGGTGTATTAGATAGTCTTACAAACTTTAGGTCTTGGAGGAAATTCTTCAGATAAGTTCTGCTCGGTCCTGACTTTATCCCGTGACACCTAAAGCACAAGTGTGTGATAGTGTGTGTGATAATAAGCTGTTTACTGTGCTGTATAGCCTCTGTGGTTGTCCTTCTCTTCTTCCTCCTCCTCCTCTTATTCCTCTGTCATCATTGTTAGGGACCTGGAACAACTTCACAGAGACCCTGCTCATTTACAGCTGGAGATAATGGGTTTGGTTAAAGTTTATTTTTGTCTTATTTGACAAGAAGAGAATTCAGTTTTGAAAGAGCCTTGCAGGTATGGGTCAGTGGTAGGATGCGTTGCCTAATATGTGAAAGGCCTTGGATACCATCCCCAGCATTGAAAACAAAATTAATGGACACGCTTACAAACTGCTTGCTAAAACAGTTAAGAGAAAACACTAGTGGTTATAAACGGGATAAGACGTGAGTAGAAAAACCAACTGGTTCTTCCAATAACGAATGCTGCCTGATGATGTGAACCTGATGTTCAACACTCCTGACCCACAGTTTGATAATTTTTCTGATAGACTTCCCGTCTGTTTAAGCTTGGAATTGTTTGGTCTTATGAAAACAGTGGCAAGACAAATCATGAAAGGTCAGGTGTCGGTTATAATTAACAAACTAGCAAGAGCAGGCAAGCAGCTCAAGGTAGAAGATGCTGCGTGTTCTTGCTGCCACTTAATACTGACTCATTAGCACCGTCCATTCAGCGGTTGGACAGAGTGTTATTGTGTATTGTACTGCTTTTAAACTGACAGTTTTCCTAGGGCACTGTCACCCTCTTTTGATTCCTTTTGGACTGTTAAGGAACATGGAGGCAAACTATGTCTCTGTGTTCTAGGTCACAGTGTTGATGTTCGTTTTTCCCACGCACTCCCCGTGGGTCTTCCTTCCTGTCTTCCTTTCCACTTCCCTTCTCTTCCTGCTTTCACCTCTGTCCCAGATAAACATCCAGTGTGCTTATTGTGCGTGTGAAGCTGGCGGGAGTGTTTTCTCCATGCATGGGTGGATGTAACTCAAGAATGTAGCCTGAGAGTTAGCTGCACATCCTGCCCTTTGAAGAGGCTTTTTTCTGAAGAATGCTGGCTTTTCCTGGGAAGCCAGGAGACC